GCTTTTGTTAACTCGTTGGCATTAGTCTAGCTCAGAGGCACATTCTATGGAAATTCCTTGTTTACCATCCTCCTAGGAGGTCCTTGAATATCTGCCTGCAACCTCCAGTAACTGGGCTCATACTAGTAGGCAGCCCGCCCAGAGGGTGTTCAGGTCAGAGGGCAGGCTGCTCCTGCACTTGCCATAACTTCCACCCAGTGGTCTTAATCTCCCCTTGGCTTTGGTACCGACCTAGTGCCATCCTTATTTCCCTTGACTGAATCTGAGCTGCAGCCCACAGCAGAAGCTGCAAGGACTGGGCAGAGTTCCAGGTGCGAGGGGCCCAGAGGCATGAACAGCGCTCCACCGCGCTTGTCAGAGAAATGGAGCTGTAGCTCCTCTGTGGACTGGTTTATCTCCTCCCCGCCTCCTCCCGGGTGCACAGCAGGGACTTTTGATCTGCAGAGTGATTGATAAGTGGGAGAGGGGCCACCGTCCCTTCCTCCCTCTTCCTCCTCCGGCTCCCCCCAGCTCTGCTTCACTCCTCCCCCTCGTCTCCCTCCCTCTTTCCTGCTGGAAGCCCTGCCCCACGGCGAGCCGCTCCAGTGGGAATCTGCCTGCCCGTGTTGGATTCTTACGTTTTCTAAAGAGAAACGTAAGAAAACGCCAACAGATTGATGGGAACATAAAACGTAAAAACTGAACTGGTTATGTAACAACTGTTTCAACGTGTTTTCATTGTGTTTATGTTCCCCGTGCTGTTTTAACGTTCTATTTGCTTGTAATTCAAGTGTTCCACATCCATCACTGAAGAATTCCATAGTTTAGTATTGAGAATTCTTAGAACAGTAACTGCATTTAGAGAGTGTTCTGAGCTCTATTAACTTGGATTGCCGCCCTCATCCCACCCCTACCAGGGCTGGTTGGCTCACGGACCGTCCATGCGGGCGTGGTCAGTCCGGAGGCATCGGGCAACCCCGCGGTCACCGCCGCTGCTGCGGGCGGCCCACGAGCCGGGCAGG